ACAAGACCATGCCTTGATAGAGAATGCTTTAATGTGTGTGTATGTACATTTAAGATGTGAGTGCCGGGGGCATATTCCTTAAAAGGAATGCTTTAATTTCACTTCAAGACCCCAAAAACAAACTTGAGGGATTCACTGGATCTCTTTGTCCCTATTCTCAAAGTAGCTACATTGAATAAATCTTCCTTTTCTGCTTTCTACTTTTTTTTAGAGCAAATACTTCTTGAGATAATTAACTTATTCATCAACCTGAATGAGACCACTGGATAGTGAAATTTCATGTTCATCAGACTAAAACAGTTACAGAGAAGTCACAACTAAAAAGGTGGTAAGAGTAAATGTAATTCCTGAGAACTGAATCTTGTCTAAGGGATAAGCACCCAAGAAGTTCCCTAAGCTAACAGGAGTATGAGTACCCACAGTTCCACAAAGGTCAGGAAGATGACTAACAAGGAAGACCAAAATGCTAGGGTTTTCACATGGACAACATATACTCAGTATTTTAAAATTCTGGATTTTCCTTCCACTACTATATAATTCATTTTGTTGATTTCAGTGAGTTTCCAAGTCACCAAAATCATTTTGAATCAGTTTTGTCATACAGCACAATAGCCATTCAAATCCCCCAGGATGAAATCATCCACAAATTTACTCACTGTGCCTTCTGTGCTGACATTTAATTTAACTGTCAATATTTGGGTTCAGGGATTCTGTAAGTCTATTAAAACTTAATGTGGCATCCTGAACTTGGTTGCCAATAAGAACTCAAGGGTAAAACCCTATTGTTGAAGATATCATAGCAGAGGACACAGAGAAATGAAATTGGTACTGATGAGGACCCACCCCAGAGGTGAATCTTCACTAGTATTTTGCTAAGTGGATGGAATATCAAATTTCCTTCTAAATTTGTATCTGTCTACCCACAGATTAGTGCAGTCCTTGGACCTCATCAGAGAAGTTTCTTTGTGCAGTGCATGAGGTTAATGCAGAAGCCCACAACTAGTAAGAGGGCAAGAGTGCTCATTACAAATGGGATATCTGTATCAACCACACCGGCTCAGAGACCACATTAGAACTGGGGAACAGAGATTGTAAGAGCCGGAAGACGGGGGAAGACTGGAGTGAAATAGTGTTCTCTGGATGGAAGATAACTGCATTTATCAACAGTCAACAGCTATGGTTACCTGCACAAGGCTTGTGCAAGAGCAATTCTGAAATGTATCAGCATTCTAGTTTAAAGGGGAAATGGGCTCATGAGCCCCAACCTTTAACTGAATAGCTAGTGACAGTTAATGGCTTCTGGGAGAGGGACAGTCAGTTTTAAGGGTGTGTCCTCTGGATTTTTGACCATACTCCATCCAGTACATGGCCCCACACCCAGGAGTATATAGGCAGCACACATTGAACTTAGTGGTTTTTGTTTTGTTTTGTTTTGTTTTGTTTTGAGACAGGGTTTCTCTTTGTAACAGTCCTAGCTGTCCTGGAACTAGCTCTGGAGACCAGGCTGGCCTTGAACTCACAGAAATCTTCCTGCCTCTGCTTCCCAAGTGCTGGGATTTAAAATGTGTGTGTCCACTGCCTGGCGTGGGTTATTCTCTTTTTAAATTTATTTACTTGTATTTTATGCACATTGGTGTTTTGCCATGGCTGTCTGGTCCTGGAAATAGAGTTACAGACAGTTGTGAGCTGCCATATGGGTGCTGGGAATTGAACCCATGTCCTCTGGAAGAGCAGTCAGTGCTCTTAACACCTGAGCCAAGTCTCCAGTCCCAGTTATTCTTTTAGAAGAGATATTAAGTTAGGATGAGAGGGGAGATGAGGGTGGATCTGAGAACCATTTTAGGGGATGAACAGGGGGTGAACATTATCAAAATATATTTCATATTCTATGAAATCCCAAAATAATAAAAACACTGTATCAACATTAAGTGTATATGTATTCATACATATAAAAGCTGTGTGTGTGTGTGTGTGTGTGTGTTTTATGCTACTCGAGCTATAATTTTAAGCCCAATAGTCACTGACTGCCTAACCAACACTAGTACCCAGTATGAGAAACCTTCTTTAAAGATGTTGGTCAGAGGAGTCCAAGAGACTCACAAAACAATAAAAGCTATTATTGTTGCCATTGAAAAATACTGTATTAAAATATAAATCAACTGTGTGTGACATCTTATGTGTATAAGCATTTTCAAAGGCTAGGGGTCCGCTGTCTTCCCCAGACTCACAATGTGATCTGTGATCTCAAAAATGTGAAAAAAATCGATTATTCATCCGTATTCAAATGGGATACTCTAGTAAATACAGGTGTATTTAAAATCACCATGACAGCCTTCCTACTCAACACTGATCCATCAGAAGTTTGGGCCAGGACGAAGTCCCTCTCCCATGCATTAAAGCTGAGCATGGCATCCACCAAAGGCAATGAGGTGCCAGCTCATGTACCAGGGTTATATTGTGGTCCTACAACCAGGGGCCCCTCAGCTAGTCCAAGTTTCACAACTGTCTCCTACATATGGAGGGCATAGTTCAGTCCCCTGGAGTCTCCACTGCCGTTGGTTTAGAGTTCATGAGTTTCCACAAGCTTGGTTCAGCTGTCTCTGTAGATTTCTCCATCATGATGTTGACCTCCCTTGCTCATATATTCCCTCCTCCCTCTGACTGGATTACTGGAGCTCAGCCTGGTGCTTGGTTGTGGATCTCTGTGTCTGGTTCCAACAATTACTGGATGAAGGCTCTATGATGATAGTTGGGGTATTCACCAATCTGATTACAGGGGAAGGCCAGTTCTGGCATCCTCTCCACTATTGCTAGGAATCTTAGCTGGGGTCATCCTTGTGGATTCATGGGAATTTCCCTAGTGCCAGGTTCCTCATAACCCCTTAATGGCTCCCTCTATCAAGATATCTCTTTCCTTGCTCTTCCACTCTGTCCCTCTCCCCTCAATCATTTCATTCCCTCATGTTCTTGTATGCCTTCCCCTTTACCTCCCTCAGTTTACCCAGATCTCATCAAGTTTCCCTTCCCCCAGGAAATCCATGTGTCCCTCTGGGTCCTCCTTGTTACCTAGCTCCTCTGGAGCTGTGGATTATAGTCTGGTTATCCTTCGCTCTACATCTAATGTCCACTTATGAGTGAATACATACTGTGTTTGTCTTTTTGAGTCTGGGTTACCTCACTCAGGATTTTTTTTTCTAGTTCCATTCATTTGCCTGCAAACTTTATGGTGGTATTGTTTCTTACATCTGAGTAATACTCCATTATGTAAATGTACCAGGCTAGGGAGGAAGTTAGGGACAGGCAGTAGATGGGATGGGGGTGGGGAGCTGGGGTTGGAATGTACAATGAAATTTTAAAAAATAGATTAAAAAAAAGAAGTTTGGGCCTATAGCTATTGACTATTACAGGCCTATCTCTTTTCTGTGAAATAAATTTCAGCTACTTAGCCATTTTAGTAATTTTGGTATTTAGTTTACAATATCTAAAATTAGTGTCATTCTCAGGACCTTCAGCAGTTTCCTTCCTATACCTATCAGGCACTATGTATCATAGCATTATATTGTGCTTCACCTGTCAGTGGAAACATTGGTGCTTTAAAAATCCCCAAGGATGTCTGTTCCACTATGTTCATAGCAGCAATATTTGTAATAGCCAGAACTTGGAAGCAACCTAGATGCCCCTCAACTGAAGAGTGGATAGAGAAAATGTGGTTAATTTACACAATGGAGTACTATTCAGTGGAAAAAAACAATGGAATCTTGAAATTTGCAGGCAAATAAATGGAAGGCACTAGAAGAAACCATACTGAGTGAGGTAACCCAGTCACAAAAAGAGATACATGGTATGTACTCACTCATTTCTGGATTTTAGACATGAATCAGGGGAGTGCCAGCCTACAATCCCACTGCCAGAGAGTCTGGGAAACAGAACCTTCATCCAGCAACTGATGAAAGCAGAGGCAGATACCCACAGACAAGCACTGAACTGAACTCCTGGAATCCAGTGTCAGAAAGAGAGAACTGATGGGCAAAGGAGTTAAGAGTGGGCTGGTTTAACCCACAGATACAGCTGACCTGAACAAGGGGGAGCTCTTGGACCTCAGACTGATGGCTGTGTGGAGAGCATGGGACTGACCCAGACCCCCTGAATGTGGGTGTCAGTAAGGAGGCCTAGGTAATCTATGGGGCCTTGGGTAGTACTTATCCCTGGCATACAAACAGACTTTGAGTGCCCATGCCAAAATATGGGAGGCTCTCTCAGCCGGGACTCTTGGGGGAGGGCCTAGGCCCTGCCCTGGATGAAATGACAGTTACTGGAGATCCATCATGGAGTTCCTCACCCTCCTTGGGGATCGGACTGGAGATTGGGTAGGGGACTGGGGGGACTTGGTGGGGAGGGCAGGGGAGGAAGGGAGGAAGAGGGAGCTGGGATTGACATGTGAAACAAGATTGTTTCTAACCTAAATAAAAAAATCCCCAAGAGCAGCTACTAATGGACACATCAAAGAAAATACACAAGTAAAAGCTTGCTATCTCTTTTCATGACCTGGCACAAGTAATACACCTTAGTTCACTTCACCTTAAACTGTCTGTACAGTCTACCTCAATTGATAAATGGACATGATCTATAGAGAGAAGAAGTTTTAGTTAAGGGAATCCTTTACATAAATCCTAAATGTGACAGAGACCCATTGAAAAGTAATTAGTTGAGAAGAAAGTCAGATATGCATACTCTATGATACCATTCATACAAAGGTCAGGGAAAAGAAAAGCTAACTTTTAGAGATGCAAATCGTCATCTAGGCCCAGGGCCCAGTGGAATTATAAAAGGGGACACGAGCAAACATTTTGGGTTGGTGGAAAGTTTCTACTTCTATAGAGATATGGTGGTTTCATGGGTATGCACAACTATCAAAACTCATCAAATTGTACACTTAAAATGGATACAGCTTGTAGTATACAAATTACATGACAATAGTTATTAAAAAGAATTTATCTTGGTAGTCACCAAATGAGATTTTATTGAGTATTATTCATTGAGCCTTAAAATGATATTTCAGCTGTGATTGATTACACAAGTACAAAAAAGTAAATCCGCCTGTAAATTTCTTCAGAGTGGGGTGTCAGTGAAATATGATCATGAAAAAGCTTTTTTTTAAAGTGAAGGGATTTTTTTGATGCATTCACTTATTGTATATCATTTAAATAAGTGATGTTTCTATTGACATAGATTATATAAACAGCAAACAAATTATTTAAATTGCCAGTTTAGATTATCTAGCCCACCGCCAAAACAAATAGCATCAGACCATGATAGCTTATTCAAAGGTATATTCTAAACTGCCTCCAATACCAACACTTTATTTTCACCAAGAAAAGTTTATTCTAAATTGTTTGCCTGTACACCATATGGCAGTGAAAAATAAGTTATAAAAATATTGCTATGCTCAAGTTTTGGACACTGAATTGATTTATTAAAGATTTAATATGATAAATTGTAAGACTTAGTTTTAGATTGTACGCACCAATTGATACATACCCTCTTATTTAGGGAAAATGGTTTTTTTCTAATTTATGAACCAATAGTGTTAAATTATTTTCTTAGTGGTAAATATAAAAAACAAATGGGGAAGATAACTAATCCTAAAATTTTCAATCAAAGTAACTCGACTTTACCATGTGTACATGTGAACCATGAAAAAGGGTGACTACAAAATATATAAAATGCTTTTGCAAATACTCTAAATTAAAAATGAACCACTCATCTTGGCTTTGTCATTTTTTATGTTTCATGTTAGTACAGTTTTAAGTAATCTATACTAAGAACAAAGAACTCTTTGCATTTCTTTAGTGTTACCTTCATTTATTTATTTTGGATTAATGGTGAGTATAAGCAGGTTGTTAGATGAGGGCTGTCCATGATGGACATCTGGGGGCTGGTTAAGTCCACCAGATTTTAAGGCCAGGAATGGGTTCCTAAGTTAGAACTGCCATTCTTAATGCTGTGCCTGTCTATGCTTATGGCTTAACTGAATCATTTCTTCTTCTCACGCAGAGGCTCAACTATAATTCCGGACTGAGGCTCGAACTCAGGCTCTGTCTCAGTCTCCGGCTCCTGCTCCAGCTGAATCTCCATCTCAGACTCTGCTTCAGGGTCACGCTGGGTGGCATTTTTAAGCTGGATGCCAGACTCATATTCTGGCCCCAAGATGGCAGTAGTAGGTCCGGTGTGGGCATCATGGATGGAAGATGGCAGAGTTGCGCCTAGCTGGATGTCCTCAGATGGAATTGCTTCACTGTCTGGAGAATGGCTTGCCTTTGTCATTGGTCTGTAAGAATCACCAGAAAAACATTAGGGAACTTCAAACTTGGAGATTTCACATGAAGCCACATACTAGTAGCTTTATTGATGAATAGGCCCTAGTCCAGTGCTTCTCCACCTTCCTAATGCTGCGACCCTATATTACAGTTCCTCATGTTGTTCTGACCCCATCCATAAAATTATTTTCCTTGATACTTCATAACTGTAATTTTGCTACTGTTATGAATCATAATGTAAATATTTGATATGCAACCCTCAAAGAGTTCGCCATCTGTTCATTCTCATATTTTGACTTACTGTCAGATCACAGGTGTCCATTTTGGAGTTTAGAAAGGTTAGATTTCAACAATATGAACGTCCAAGAAAGACACACCAGCATTTAAAAGGTGAAAAACTGATATGAAGAAAGAGTCTGAGAAGCTAATAAGGTATTTGAGGGTCAAATCCATGGCTCAGTTGCATCTGTATCTCCAACTCCTTAAGACAACACTTGGATCCTGATTGGTATATAAAACCAATTAGATCAATTAATTTAAATCCAGGGAAGGACACACCAATTGGTTATCCAATACCAAGTGATTGGTCATGAGAACTTGCACACAGGTAACATTATACATACAGAGCAGGTTGTATTTAGGAATACGTATGTATACACTTATACATATATGCACATAGTAACAATTAATGAAAAAAGAGGCTGTGAATTTGAAAGAGAGCAGGGAGGAGTATATGGCAGGATTTGGAGGGAAGAAATGGAAGGAGATAATGTTATAATTATAATCTCAAAAAATTTTTTAAAAAGAAGAAAGAAGGGTGAGCAACTGAATGAGAATCACCTAAGCTGCAAAAGAAATTGCAGTGTAGCTAAGAGCACAGACCATGGGCCAACCAAATTCTGATTTCCCTGGGCCTTATATACTTTTGCCTTCCTAGGTCTCCTGTTTCATTAAAACATTCATAATTATGTTTATGATTGTGTTGGTATAAAGATAAAGATGTTAGTATCATATCTTAAAATTTTTTTCCTTTGACCTACAAGGGATTTTGTGATGATTAAATTAGCTAATGAAAATGCTTAGAACAGAGTCCAGCACACAGGGCTCAACAAATAGGCATCATCACACTTTGGATAAAAGCAGTGAGAGCAAACAGAATGTTAACTTTGATATGTTATGCTGAAAGGAGTGCTTAGTACTGCAAGTTACTTCTGGAAGAGTGCTTGTATTCAAGTAAAGACAGCAGTGGGGATGTGGATGTAGGTCAATGAAGGCTTACTCAAGTTCTGTGCTGGGGTTTAAATTCCTCTTCCTTTGCCTTGATTTAACTTTGGTCCTTGCAAAGTACACCACAGATACGATGACAGCAGCACCGATCAGAGCACCAATCAAGGCACCAATGATGATCCCAACTTCTGGATCTGGAGGACACAGGTAGATAGTTGGCAAATCAGAACATATGTTCTTCCCATAAACATGCATTTGAGATTGGTGAAAACCATCTGGGGAACTCACAAAGCAAGAAAGTGACAGGCATAGGTGGAGGGAATAGAAACCCCAAGCATTCTGCTAGTTTGGTTTCTGATGGATGAAAAGTGTGAGGCCCTTGGATGTGTAGCTTAATGTTGACATGTATACAAGTGGAGAAAAATATGGCCACTTGGCAGGCAAGTTTGTTTCTAAAGACATATTTAGGGAAGAATGTTTTCAGTGTGTCCTTATGTGGCCAGAGCTATGTCATGGCAATCTGGTAACCAGAAACATGCTCTGTTACAGGCAGGGACAATTCATCAGCTTTCCTAGGGCCTAAGTGAAGTAAAAACATTTCTCCCCACAATCCTCATTCAAGAAGGAGCTGCCTGCATTCTAGCCACTGGGAAAGGATATGACCATTTGGATAAACAGGGATCTGGTTTATTACATCAGTCTATGGAAAAATTGAATGAGTGTGAGACAATCCAGCTGAACACCAGACCTCTAAGCCCAGTCTCGTCCCTGACAGAACATCTCTGGCTCATAGCCAACCCATACCCATCTATTTCCCCTTAAACAAGGATCAACACTTTATGCTTTGAAATAAGAAACTAAGTTTGCATAATAAGTCCTCCATCTTCTTATGACTCAAGGAATCTATGTAGCTCTGGGCACAGCAGTGTATGCTTGTGATCCTAGAACTCAAAGGCTGAGGAAGAAAAATCATGAGTCTGAGGCCAGCCTGGGTTACATACATGGAAAGGCCTTGTCTCAAACAACCCTAAATGGGACAGCCCAGCTATACATCACCAAGGCTCGAGGAATACTGCAGAAGAGGGGATGGAAGCAGAGTCAGAGGATGGGTGGATGGGTAGTAAAAGATGTATTCTGGGTATGACAAGCTGCTGCACTCATGAACTCACCATAGCTGTGGTTGTCCGCCCTTTAACATTTCATCGTGTATGAGTGAAGAGCCCATGAGGCTCAACCCTCCTCCAAGAGACTACCTGCAATCAATAGCCGTCAGAGGAGGGAATGCCTTTTTCTTCAGTGGTGTATCCACTAATAAACTGACCTTGCACCAGTAAATATTCTCCCGCCAATGTTTAGGCAAGAGACCCTAATTAAAGTTAGGAGACCCCATACAAGTAGAAGACATGAAAGGAGGAGGGGATTTGTTGAGAAAATGAGTTGTAGTGGGAGAAAGGCTGGTGAGAGAGGGTGATGGGGGAGTGAAAAGGACTAAAATTCATTATATAAATGTTTGAAACTGTAAAACAATAAAACTAAACAAAGCAAAAAGGAACACATAGGAATAATTTTAACAATTAAATAATTCTAAAGTTTTAACCAAACAGCATTTCTCTTGATATACTCCAACCACTTTAGGGACTCTTCCAAAAATGCTCTTGCCTTCATATTTCTCTTATGCTTGGTCTTAGGGGACCTCCCTTTTCCCAGTGTTCATTATTCCCTTCTGATTTCTAAGCAGTCCTCATCGCCTACCACATTCTCCTAATACAATTAAAGTGCTATTTTTAATTAAATATTAAATTTATGAGAATTAAATATTGTTCACAACTCAGAAATATCCATACTATGAGTCTCTGTTGTACAACATTTTAAAGTGTTCTCCCTAAGGTTATTAACTGCCTCATTTGGGGGTTTGCATAGTTTTAAATACATTCTCAATAATTTTTAAATAGGGAGGAGATAATAAATGCCTTTCAATAGACTCAAACACAATGGCTATCTCTTTATTATGGTCCGATCTCCCAGTGCTATTTCCTGTGGCACTCTCTCTTCTTCCCTCACCATGAACCAATTGTCTTTCTACAACTTCTGCTCTGCTTTTGTTCTCCCATCCAGTGTCTCCATTTTACAGAAACAACAGCCTTTGCTAGTACCTTCAAGTGTCAGCTCAAATAGTACTTGGTTAGCACTGATGCTCCAGATCTGTATCCATAAGTGTTCCTCTTTTGGTGCCTATATACTCTGTGTAGACTGCTGTTATAGCATTTAACACATATAGCCTCTGTTTGACCCTCTAGCTGAATGGAGTGAAAGACATATTTCTTCTTAACTGCTGTCTCTGCATCACCTATGATGATACATAGTAGGTGTCCAATAGGTGACTTAGGAAGAAAAGGAGGACAAGGGGGCAAAGAAAAGAAAGCAGTCAAGAAGGAAGAGGAGAGGGAGGAAGGGGAGCCAGGAAAATTATGGAGATTGCTGGAAAGAAGACTAATCTTACTAATGTTACATGACTGAACATCTTTAGTGTGATTCTATCTCTAGAAGGGCAGACACCAGATGAGTGAGAAGTAAAGAAAGACAACAGAGATGGCCATAGGAAAGAGATGAAAGTGATGAGAATGGAGGACAGACAACAAGGCTCTAATTGTTGTCAAGTGATCCCTAAGAGGTTTGGCAAGACATTCTTCATGAGGGCTTGTCCCAGGATTGGCCTAATATGTCAATTCCAAGGCTCTTAAGTATGGATATCCAAGAGCAAGTAAGTGCCTTTCAACAGGAAGACTGAGATTTAGAGGCATCCCAGCTATACAAGTTAGTAACTGGATGAACTTGGGCAAGTCATTTACCTCTCTGAGCTTCAGTGTCCCCTTCAGGAAAATAAGACTAACAATGCATTTATTTTATCTCCATAAACAGGATGGTAGGGATGGTCAAGCGAGATGTTGCTAATGTAGCACCTGGTCAAGTGTCTGGGAAATAATTTAATGCTGATAGTAATAACAGTAATCATTGGGTATTGTGATTGTAGATGTGATTGTCTGGTTATTATTATAGGTAGATTTTTGTCTCTAAACTTTTGGTTTTATTTATTATTAGAACATAGATGTTGAATTATGGGTATAAATATATTTCCTGAATGCATACACATAACTTAGGCCATATCCACTTTCCTGTTACTTTCTCTCATTCCACTTCCATTCTTCTCCTACTGGTCCCCTTTTTTTCCCTAATAGCCCCCTTCTACTTTCAAATCTTCTTAAAAATCTAGATTCAGCCTATGAAAGAAAAGTTGTGATATTTGTCTTTCTGAATCTGGTTTATTTCACTTAAAATGGTAATTCTCACTTCCATTTTCCTACAAACAACATAATGCTACTGGACTGGAGTATTTATTTACGGCTGAACAAAATTCTACATTATCCATTCATCGGGTGATGACAATCTAGGAGTCTGTAACTTGGGTGTTGTAACACTAAAAAAAAGGAAAAACAAGCTTATCAAACTATCTCTGTGGTGTACTGACTTGAATTCTGTACTTATAGACCCAGAAGTGATGCAGCTGGATCATAAAGCAGTTCTATTTTTAGTTTTTTGAGGAACCTCCATACTGACTTCCATGAGGGTTGCTCTAGTTCATATTCTCACCATCAGCATATAAGGGTTTCTTTTTTCTGCATATCTTTGTCCACATTTTTGTTTGATTTTTTTTTTGATGACAGTCTTATGACTGGGCTGAAATGAAGCTCGCTACATTCCTGATAGCATTTCCAAGATGGTGAAAAAACACTGAGCATTTTTTCATATACTTGTTGCCTATTTGTAATTCTTCTGACACTTGTCTGTACAAAACATCTACCTATTTGATTAGCTTATTCATGTTTAATTATTTTTAGTTATTCATCTATTCTGAATGTCACACCTCTGCTGGCTAAGTGCCTATAATGGATTGCCTTCCGTTCTCTAGGTTGCCTCTTCCTTCAGTTTGTTGTTTTCTTTGCTGTGCAAAAGCTTTTATACTTCATGCAAGAGCAAGCTCTTTTATCAGTCCTTGCTATTATTTCCTAGTCTACCAAAATCCTTGTCAGAAAGTCCTGCCTGTGTCTTACCTTGAAGCGTTTCCCTGTGTTTTCTAGAGGCTGATCTTTTTTGGGGGGGGGGAGTTTCGAGACAGGGTTTCTCTGTATTGTTTTGGAGGCTCTTTTGGAACTCGCTCTGTGGACCAGGATGGCCTCGAACTCACAGAGATCCGCCTGCCTCTGCCTCCCGAGTGCTGGGATTAAAGTCGTGTGCCACCAATGCCTGGCTGAGGCTGATCTTAATAAGGCAGTCAAGAAGCAGGAAGTCTTGGAGCTGTGTTTTGAAACCGGATTTATCAATTGCAAAAGAGCATTCTAGACTGTGAATACCACTGCTGTTTTTATTTGTCAGACAATAACCTACTTTCTAATGATGTCTAAATAAACTACATGGTGAAGAATTTAGGGAACATATTATTATGTAGAAATGAGAGATTTGGATGACCATTCATCATATCAACTTACCAACAAAGCACAGAAATCTCCAGAGAGGCAAGAAGGACTAAGGAGAGATCCTAATTAATCTGTTCAACTGGGAGGCTCAGGCTACTTAACAGAAGGATAAAGTATAAAAGCCGTATGTTCAACTCACGTGAAGAGGTTAAGTCAATTTCACAGGAGCTATTGCCAAGACTGTTGACAGCAGTACACTGGTAATAACCTTGTTCAAAATTTGTTAGGTTCCCGAGAACCAAAACTCCAGTGGCTGAGTCTGACAAAACCAGGAAACAGATTTTTAAGATCTCTTGTCATATCAGTTTACACAGTTTAATGCCCACCCACTTTCTTTTTCTTTTTTTCTTCCTTTTATTTATCTCATTTTATTATTATTATTATTGGTTTTTTGAGACAGGGTTTCTCTGTGTAGCTTTGTAGACCAGGCTGGCCTCGAACTCACAGAGATTTGCCTATCTCTGTTTCCCAAGTGCTGGGATTAGAGGAGTACGCCACCACTGCCTGGCTTTTTGCCCACCCAATTTTTTTATAGTGGCCTCTCTTGAGATGAATAGGATCCAATTAGATCTCTTGAGATGCTCTACAATTAGCCCAACAAAGATCCTCCGTATTCACCATCTCTCAGTTGAATTCTTGACCCTGGGAAACAGACACACCACAATCATCATATTAGCAGACAGGTACATTTTAAGTACACTCTGCTACACACACACACGCACTGGCATCAAGGGAAGAAATGTTTGAGAACTTCAGACAAACATCCAGCAACAACATATACTGTTAGGCAACCCAACCACCAGGCCAGACCGGATGTTATGAAAGGAAATACTCACTGAAGCCTTCTTTCACTGGCATAATGGTGTTTCCCTCAATCTTATACCAGTAATACACAGGAGATGGTGTTCCAAAGGTAGAAAGACAAGACAAGGAAATAGGGTGGCCTGCTTCTGGTCTTCCCTGGATGGTACAAAAGGGCTTGGAAGGTTTGACTGCAAGGCAATGACACAAAGTAAAATTTCTGCAAGAAAATGGCAGTCTGTGACACTCATAGTCACTTTCTCACTTTCATTGTACAGAATATAGATTTATTTGTTCATTTATTTTATTCCTTAAAAATGATGTTTCGGGCAGTTTTCTGGTTGTACCACCAGATGGAAGTAGAGCACTTCAGCTGCAGAGACCATCTAGTCAGGAAGCCATTAAGATTCAAATAGTGTCTCTTCTGTCTGTCTCTTCCCTGGATTTATAACCATGCATTTCCTTATTGTATCTTAAAATATGCCTTTATTAAAGCAGCCAAATGTAAGCAAACTCTGAGTAGAAACATAGCTTGTGTTTTAAAAGCCATCTTAAATAAAAACAGAGCCTTAAATATCTGGAGATAAAACCTTTCTAGAAATTCTTTTTTAAATATTCCATTAATACTACTTTTTTCTATTCCTTTGTGAGCCTAAGGCAGTTTTTCATTTATTCATCTATAGGTGACTCAAAATTGCTCGAAGGTTTGAATTTGCCTGTGTCCCTCCTCAGCAGAGGAAGCCCATTTTGCGTCTGCGCTATATGATGTTAGTGTCTTGATTTTTCTCCCACGCAGCAAGAATTTAGCAATGTGCCTTCTGTCTAGCCAGCACTGGACCAGTCACTGCAGATTCAACAGCAACTCGGTCACTTCTGAAGTGGGGTTAAGGGTAGTGAGAGATGAAATCACAGCACACTGGGGCCTGCATCTGGAAGGGCTCTGCATTACATGTGTTTTGCACTGAGAACAGGGAGACCATGGAAGGAGGTTAAGAAAGGTAGTAATGATGATCTTTCTAATACTTCACCCAGTGATCTCTCTGATACCGAGGGCTCCCGAACCAAGGAAAAGGTGATTCAAGGGGTACTAAGGAAATAGACTCACAGGAGCTAGGGACCAGATAGCTACAGATGATGAGGAAGAGGGTAAAATCTATGGTGATTCCCAGGATTCTGATTGTGTGTCCATGATCCTGCCACCACCCGAGAGAAAGAATTAATGTGGAAGAACACATTTTAGAGGAAGGGATGAGGAGGAAGAAGTGATACTGGGGGCGGTTTGGGACATGCTGATTTTTCAGCTGTCTGGGACAACACCTGGATGGAGACATTCTCTGGGTAGGTAAAAATCACAATCTCTCCATTCTCCTTACTTTGTGCCACTCAGTCTTTCCTTAAAAACATACACAGATGATGACCCTAAGTTCTGTGCTTTCCAATTAACAGTCCTCCTTTTGTTTTACGTTTGGCTGGCTAGTTGGTTGGCTGGTTGGTTTGTGGGTTTGAATTTGCTAAATGACTGGAGACAGACTTTCAAATTATGACCATCCGGCCTCTACCTCCCAAGCACTAGAATTACAGGTATATGCTACCATACCTGGCTCTTCTTCTTTACCTTAAATTGGGTTATTAAAAAAACCCACCCTTCTAGTGGTTAACACTCTAACTTATGAAATGTATACCTTAAATGCTTTGGTTCTCCTGGGACACATGACCACAGATCTGGATCCACAATGAACACCAGCTCTACAACTTCACCCTGTAGGTAGTTGGGCAAGTTACCTAACTGATCTAAATCTCAAACTGTCTCATCTATAAAATATGAGTAAGAAATGATCTAACCTCAGGCTAGCCAAAAGAAAATACTATAAATATGGCCTTGTACATGGACTGCTGTTGGTTATGGCCTGGACTAATTTTTGCTACTGAAATCAATCTTCTAACACCTGATCTGGTAAGGCACCTCAGACTCAAAGCTTTGTATGCATAAAGAAGACAGGTGTTTATAAGCACAACTCTTCAAAATGCTTCACTCTTCTTTGAAAACTAGTGTCTTTTGATTTAGAGTATTTTCCTATTTAGACTTCAATCCTCTCTTCCTTCTCATGGCTTGCTGAGATGGAGGAAAACTTGATTACCTACCTTAAATTAGGCCATCTAACCATCCCATTCAACTCTGACTAGGCTTAGTAGCTTTAAAAAGTGGTCTGAATGTTATAGGCCTGTATAAGAACAGAACTATTTGAAGAGATAAAAGTGGGGATTTCAACATTAAAAGTCAGGCACCAGGACTAAATTATAGACAGCAACATAGAATAACTGGCACTCATTCACTGAGTCTAGATTCAATCCAGATTAGGCCTCTTCTTTTTTTTTCTCCTTCTAGCTCTCCTTTTTATTATTGACAAAACATAAGGTGACTCATTTTGAGACAAGCTGCAAACCTATATATCTTCTAAAACTACTGAATCAGAATTGAGCTGACATTTCATCCAGTTAAAGTAGCCCCCAAAGAGCTAGTCTGTTTTACTGGCAAAGCCGTTGATCTACCCTTCGACTTTCTTGCTTTCATCAGATTTGGGGTGGAAGGAAAATGCTCATCTCAGAAGACAAATGAAAATGTTTCAGTGTGTTCACAAAGTTCCTCCACATTAATATTTTTATGTGCCAAACTGCAGAATAGAGATGGTGCTCATTCCAAATGTACACATAATAATTATTCGGAGTCGATGTGGGTATTTTTCAGAGACTGATTTTCCAGGGTTGTCATAATTAATGGAAATCTCTTAAATGAATGGCGATTGCAAACTACCTGCCTCATGCTCACTGCTGCTTTCTTTACCTGAACTGTACCCTGCGCCTGGCACACTCTTGGGCATCTTCCCTCAGCCAACACAGAAGTCTTCTCTAGTCCCCTTCTGTAGCTTCCTCCCCACCCACCGCTGGCTCGTGCCTTCACAGCTCTTCTCCCACTGCAAGCTTTCCTGCAATCTGTCTCTTTCCACAGAATGGGTTTTTGGAGGGTGGGGGCCCTATCTTTTACATCTTACTATTCCCATTGCTTAGAACTGTAACTGCAGCATGTTCTCAGGCTTAGATTAAGGAACTCATGAATGCAAAGCAAATACAAGGGATTGATTGATAGCCATGCTGGGTGAGAAATGTCTCTTAAAAGATGAGCTGCTATACTACACCCACATTCACTGCTGCTTACCTATAAACATATACACATCATGGATATAGTATAACATTTTGCATAACATGCATGTTAGAAGGGAGACCAAGAAGGGGTACTATTAGGTGATAAGAAGGGATGGAATGTAGGCAAAAGGACACATGAATCATAAAAGAGAATATAAAACTAGCAGTTTTTTCTAGTTTCAACTCTCAGATATTTTTTTCGTAGTGAATAAGTTCATAAAAATGTAACTGACAGTAAGAGGGGAAAGACCTAAGCAAAACCCCCATGGCTTCAGCATGGCCAGCCTAACTTTTCATGGGTTCATTGGGTTGCACTTTGTTTTTTTCTGAATTAATAAAAATAGACCTTTTGAGTATTTCTGTGGAAGAAAATCCACAGAATATTCATTATCTTCATTTTATGGATTCTGGCTATTTCACTAACGATCATAGGAAAGTCATGGCAAGACTTAATTGACCCAGAGACTCAGGAAACAAAAACAAAAACAAAAACAGAACTAGCTTAAGCTATCTTTAGCTCATGGAAATTCACTGGGAATCCTCTGAACTTCAAATTTAAGAATATTAACCTTCTTGTCTAGCTTATCTTAGGGCTGTTTCCAAGCCTTTTCTTGAAAATTGCTTCTGCTCAGATTACCTCAGAGACACAGAGGCAACAGAAAATCATTAGATGATTAATCCCTCAAATTACTTGAACATTAAAAGGCTCTTTAATCCCCAGCACCTAATTGGATTCTCATAATAAATCAGTAAAGAAGACAGACTTACGACCTCTCTTACAATGGCCAGAGAGTAGTGAACTGCACTGTATAAGGTCACTGAGAACCAAGAAAGGCTTAGAACCTAAGCTTTGTGATTTTCAGTCTCGTGGTTGTTGGCATTCTTGCCCCAATATTTTCCCATTCATCTATTCCTACACCCCAATGCCAAGCACAAGGCTCAGCACAATAAAACGCAACAGACTGAGAAGACCCTCCCTTAAACATTAGCTCCAGAGTAACATTCCTTCTTTTTCAGAAGGCTAAATAAAATGGCAGAGCTTACAGGAAGCATCAATTGGTTCCTTTTAGAATCACATGCATAGCAAGATAACTGTGGATACTGCTCATAGATGTGCACCTCGTTGTCATTTGTTCCTTCTTTAATCCACTCAACTATCTAATCACTGATTTGACCTAGTACTTACTTTCCAATGATGTATATTCTCAAACTGCCAGGAGCAATGACTAGATCTGTTCCATTTGGACGACTTGGTAATGGCTTCAAACCTTTCCCCCTCCCTCTAATACTTTCTACTTTAGAGTCTGCCAATAGGTCTTTAACCCCTGCTATGTTCTCAGGAATTTGAAGGATCCCTAGAAATCAAACAAATTGAGAACTCTTCAAAGGCAGAAGCTGTGTCTCCATAGCTTTTATTTCCTTCCACAAAGTATGGACACCATAAATTCTGAATAAACGAACTGTTACAAGTCTATTCTGAGAGCAAATGTGGTTTGTCCAATGTCATACAATATCTATGTGTTTATCATAACTTAATTCTTAATAATGGCTTAACAAGTAAGAATTTTCCAGATAGTATTAGCATTTTTAAAAGGGAGTCCCCAGCCTGATCAGAAGTCAAGATAAAAAGTCAGTTGCATAGCAAGCTCAAGGCTACCCAAGGCTCCATGAGACTCTGCTTCAAAACAAAACAAAGCATAAATATAAACAAAGGGAACTATTCTGCCTTTGTTTGAAAGAATGATTTCATGGTAGGAATAGTGGTAGGCTTCAAAAGGGAAGGTTGACAGTTATTTCTTGTAGCTAAGTGTAGCTCTAATTACAAGTTCCTCCCAAAAGAGTTACTAGTGATCATGTGGTGGATCATTTGTTTGTTTCACTGTATCCTTCCAAGCTAGGGATGCTACTGTTTCTGTACATTTTATGGTAATTTTGAGGTATCACTGTATGGATTGAGTTGGAAAACTGTCTCTACTAATAAGATAAAACTTAAATTTATAAAACAGATTCTGATAATAAATGGAGCAGGAGGACAATTAGCCCCGGGGACATAATTGACACAATAAGTCACTGCTTTGACTCATTCACTGCTGTAAGTTGCTTCAAGAAAAGACATGAAAATAATGTCCATACCTAACACAGAGACGTCAAGGATGCCTTGGTTTTTGCCGACAAAATCTGGAGGATTGTTGACATCACAGATGTAAATTCCACTGTCTGCTGGTTGCATATGCAATATGGTAATCGATGCATTACCTGGATTATTCCACCCTATAATTCGATCCTTGAATTGTCCAATAGCTGAATCTTGCCCACCTTCAGAGTAGTAAATCTAGGATAGAAAAATAGTAAAACTGAGAACCCGAGAATATCCAGGGTGATGATGAGTTATCAGGAAGTCCTTTCTATCTGTGGTCTCTGTAGCCAAGACTTCTCACTCCATTGGGGCATTTAACTTTCTGACTGCAGTTGATAGTCATTACCTCATTTGCCTCCAACAGCTCTGTTGTGTCACTGGAGCAGGGACTGGGAAGCCTATTTTATAGAAGAGGGAACAATTGGAATTCAGAGGATGTAACTTCTAACCTTGGGCTAGGAAAACAAGACACTCACCTGCTCAATCCACCTGGTAGAAACTCTTTGGCATATGAGATATATCTCAAGAGATATTACCACTTCATGAACTTCCGATTGGAATTTACCTTGCCCACTGAGACTGCTATCCCTAAAAGCTCAAATGTTCATGATCCTTTCATGCATGCATACCTCTCAGGCAAGCACACTTGGGTTCATTCTGTTTGTTAGAGGTATAAAACTTCAGGGCAGACTATAACCTGAGAAATCAGTTGGCTTTGCTCTCTCCTAGTGCTTGTGGCAGGATAAAACCAGTAAAATGCCTACAGTGTGTTTGGTTCACATTAGCTACCATCTTTCTTTCCATGTCAAATCACAGAACTAAGAACTTTGGGTGACTCAGCTGAAGGCACAGGATTCATTTGTTGCTGTTGTTATTATCTTTACAATGTCCTGGACTGGAGTCAAGCAGTGGCATATACCTTTAGTCTCGGTCTCTTGGGAAACTGAAGGCAGGGGCACCCTGATTTTGAGGACCTCCTAAGCTATAGAGGAAGATTGTCTTTAAAAACATCTCACGCATGCTCAAGCAAGACAAAATCCTCCATGGAGAGGGAAGGTGGGCATGAAGTCCCCTCCCCTAGTCGAGAAGCAATTGGCAAGTGATAGATGCTGGGAGAGGAAGAGTCAGTTTTAAGAGTGTTGTCTCTGATAAGTCAGCCACACTCCAGTGGAGGGCACCCATTCAAGAATATATAGGCAGCATAAATTAAATTTGATGGGTAGAAAAAAAGAGAGGACACAAAATTGGGTGGGTAGGGAAGGGGGGTGGATCTGGGAAAAGTGTACAGGGAGTGAATATGATGAAAACACAATGTACAAAAAAAGCTACAAGGAGTTAGTGAGTGCAGAGAGGGAGAATCAGTCTTCCTCAGGGAGGAGCTCCCTAATAGTTATTCAATACCAACTGGTCAGCTCTAAAAATATATACACATGGACAACACTATATGGACTCAGTGGGTTGTATGTATATATTTACTCACATATATGTAATAATAATATTTAACAAAAACATGAATTTGAGAGGGATCAAGGGGAAGAGAAGATATGGGAGAGGAAGACAGGAAATGGAAGGAAGAAATAATTTAATATAATACACATATACAAATTTTAAAAATAATAAAAGATACTATTATATAGCAAAATTATTAAAAATAAAATTTACAATAATAAAAAGTAATTGATTGAAGAAAGATCTGAATTCTACTTCCATTTCCATTAAATTGCATGAATCTTAGGGATTAATGACAACCGTGGGATAAGAATGACGTACAGAGAGAAGTGTGGCCTAGGTGTCACATGATCTAGGTTTTCCCCACAGCTCTTTCTCTGTTGTAGTCACATGAGGTATCCCTTTGCTATGCCTCCATAGCAACTAGTTGAGTGATAAGCAGCAAAGATAGCTAATCTCTCTAACCTTTAAGTTTCCACATGTGAATGAGAATCCAGAGCAATGGTTTTCAAAGTAGGACATTGATTTTCAGTGATGTCTAAATGAAAACTTACTAATTTTAATATGTTCAAGAGAAACACATCTAGCATACCAAATATGTTCCTTCATGGATATTGCTGCTTAGGTGACACTAAGGTCTTAAGATTTTAAAAGTCTCAGTCAATATAGAAACTAGTTACTAGAAAATCAGTTCTGGGGATACACAAGTATGACAAAAATTAAGAGGCTGGGGCATGAGCAACTGCAACTTGGGGATCACTAGTTGAAGTAATAATACTTGAGTTCCCTTCACAATCTACATATTCTGTGTGCACAGTTTCTAAATTAATATAAATGTGTGCCATCTTCTAGATGGTTCTTCCAGTTCTTTAACTCATTAGCATCACTTTAAAGAAGAAACGGAAGCCAGTGGAGGTTTTTTAAAATGGCACAAAAGTAATAGTTGAGGGACGAGTATGAGGCTGAATGGCAGAGCACTTGCCTAGCATGTATGATATCCCACTTCCCACACTCGGATGAAAAAACAGGGGTGAGAACAAAAGCAAACTCAGTTTAAACAAGAGTAGAACCAGTTCCCCTGATTCCTTGCCCAGAGCTCTTTACTTACGCAATCTATCAAAAAGAGAAAACAGAAAAAAATAAAAGAAGATATTGTCTAGTGGAATTCAAACCTCTTACCCTTTATGCAGAAAGGCAATACATTTTATAGCAAGACAAACAAGCAGAATCTTGAGGGAAATTTTTTAAAATGAGGATAATTAAAGTGAAGACAACTTACTCTCTCCTTTGTTGGCTCTAACATTCTTTGCTGCCCTAAACAGTGTCCTATACTTCATTTATTCGTGCCTCCTGAACTTAGAAACCAGAAAGCTATGATTAACTCAAGGTATTCAAATGAGACAAGTCCTTATCAAAGAACTTTGCTACACTGCCAGGCAACACTAAATCTATTTACTTAGTAATGGACAGCGTGAGATCCCATTGTCTCTTACCTGGAACACAGCCTGGTGCCATCAAGACAGCCCTTTCCAACCTGAGCCTCTGACCAGTTCCTCTGTTCCCAAGAGGAGACAGGCCAGCCCTGCTCTGTGACATTTGATGATGTATCAATGAGATACAACATCAATCCTGCCACAGAAAGCTCTAGAGGAGCCAGGTGATGGGGCCTTGATTATGCAGAAATGAGGGTTCCAGAGTACTTTTTAGGCAAGGACTAGGACACAGAAGGGTGCAACAGAGACCAGGCAAGGGGGCACATGCCTAGGTCTCAGATATGTAACTTACCCATGAAAGGGCCCCCGCCATCCTTACACTGCAGTCTAATGAGTATTTCCCTCACAGATGAGAGATACTAAAGGGATGCGACAGGAGACCTAAAAGGTAAAGGCTTTGAGTTCAGGCTGCAGTCTGAGGAGGAAAGCCCCAAACATTAGCTAGCCAGACATACAGATGAGGGACTTTCTCCTTGGGCAAGTCTACTGTGTTAACTTTGTCCTTGGGAAGAAAAGAAGAAAGGAATGTTTTCTCCAAACTGCTTATCTAATCACTCTGGGAGGGCTACAGTTGGTTTCATTTTCCACAAAGAGTAATACTTTAAAAACTCAAAGCTAAGCAAAAACAATTAAAGCTGAGTAATGGCTGAGGCAAAGAAAACGTATTGTAAATTTGGAGATCAGAACTACTGAGGCCAAGAAAAATCCTCATGTGTTCAGCAAGCCACATCTTTGGCAGGGATGAGATGAGCCCTGCTTTAAGAAACTCCATCCTGGGCTACAGAGATGGCTCAGTGGTTAAGAGCATTGGCTGCTCTTCCAGAGGACCTGAACTTAAATCCCAGCAACCACAAGGTGGCTCACAACCATCTGTAATGAGATCTAGTGCCCTCTTCTGACTTGCAGGCATACATCCATGCAGAACACTGTATATGTAATAAATAAATAAATAATCCATCCCAATGTTTCCTAAAGTAGTACTTGTTAAAAAATTATACCCACTGCTGCCTGTGCCCATGTTCATGACAGAAAGTCCTGCTTTCTCTTAATGTCTCCTCTTCCTGCCCTCTTTGCCATGCTGGTGGCTGGTGGGTACAGTCACAGAAGCCTATTACTAGTGATTAAATCTTCTTTGAGATCACTTAATTCATGTCACTAAGGTTCAGGAGCTATCAGGAGCCAGCTGGATATTGGAAATAAGAACAAGATGGGGCAGTGTCTAGAAGCAGGGGTTAGCTTCTAAAGGCATACTGAGGAGCTGGCATAACCCGTGGGAACAAAATGCAGCCTAGCTAACAAAACTATATCTGTTGGTCAAACCAGTCTCTGAGGCCTCCAGTTCGTAATTCTGATTCAGTCTTATCTATTACAGAGGACACTGAGGCCCTAATAGGGAAAATGATTTTTCCCAAGGTTACACAGTCAATTTATAGTCAAACCTAGAATCCAAGCCTCATGATTCCCACCATAAGCATTAAGTAGCACTCTCAGTCCTGCCCAAGACAAGGGTGATGATTTACCTTCCCTTTGGGGCTGTTCCGCTGCCTATGAATGTCTCCCTTTCCTAAATCATCCCAGTTGCTGCTGTTTCCTGGTCTACTGCTTCCTATACCAAACAGTTCGGATACACGATGCACACCACATTCTCCAGCTGCACTGCAGGCTCCTTAGTATCTGTACACAGCAGCCTCCCTCTGCCTATCATGCCAAGTTCCTAGTCACTCATGGCTGTGCAGCTGGCAGCCAGTTGTTTCCTCCATTTTGCACCCCACTCTCAAACTAGAAGCTTGATGTATAAGCAAGAAGGCTTGAAAGAGTCCCATCTGCTTTCTATTTGAGTCAGAGATGGGCTTACTAAATGCCATTAGCTTTCAGCACGGCTTTCCAGGTTCCGTTGGGAGATATGGAACCCTGGAAGTCTACCACTAAACCACACATTCTTTCCTTTTCCTCCCTTCCAGCTCCTTGCTTTCTGGTATTGCCCCTAAAGCAGCTAGACATGGCTGGGAAAGTAGCATGGGTTTCAGACCCAGCCTGTTCTCTGGCCTGTACTACGAAGGCTATGATTTTACATGATAGACACAGAGTACCACAAGAAAGGCTCTCTTGCCCCATTTTACCAGCTGGTTATTTGCTTGAGCCCCCCACCACTTGAGGGATTGTTTTGCCTGGTGTTTGGCTGAAACACTGGGAGATCCCTGCTTAGGTACACGTGTTGAGCAGAAGTGAAACCAAGTCCGGAAGAGATAAACATTAGTGAAGAGACATGGAAGAGTTGTAGTGTTCTCCCCTGACAACAGTAGCATTTTGGGACAATTTGGTGCATGGTTCTGCTGCATGTATTGCAGAGCATTTAGCAGCTCTAAGTCAGAACCCACCAAATGTCATTAACGGCTGGAGGCCCTAAAAATCAACATCAATTCCCTCTCGATTATTACATCTACCTGAAGTGATGGATTACAACCCCCACCCCATCAAGATTACAGAACCATTTGAAAAAATGTAACCTACAGAAACGACAGAACAGTTTTAAAAATGTAAGAAGCCAGAAAATATGAAAACACTAGATTCTGGGGAAGGAGTTGTCCAGATTTTAGAGATGTTATGGATATAAGGATGGTGGAGGATTTCCATTGTGAGGACTCTGGAAGAGCACTGTCTAACAGACCCACACAAACAGAGTGAGTGTGCATTTTATTCATGGGTGAAGTGTTGTCTCTAGTTCTAGCATAACAAGCTAAATGGAAAATGGAAGAATCTATGGCTGAGGGGCACCAGATCTCCCCAAAATTCCTTGTTAGCCTGCTTGTGCCAGATGACTCTCCATAGATTACCCCAAGGGATGGTGTGAAGCTGTCCATATTTTTGAAAGGAAGATCAAATGGATACTGTCTGTCCTCAGGATCAGGGGACTTGTGAAAGGAGCAGTTTCCATGAACCAAATGAACCTCCTTAGAGAGGGCATTAAATGAGAAAAAGTATCTGGCCCTGGGTAGGTAAGAAACACTAGTCCCCAGTGTCAATTGCTATTTAATGCAATTATTTTGAGGTGGCAAAAGATGGCCACCAGCCTGATCAGAGCGGCTATAGGGTCCTGAATCTTTTTGGAGGGGGGTTAAAAGTGTTCCAGTCATGGATATGAGAAGGTAAACTCAAAACTTCTCTAGGTTTTATTTTATTTTTTAAAAATTATTTATAATGTGCATTGGAGTGAAGGTGCTCAAGGAGGCCAGAAGAGGGCGTTGGAGTTAGGGTTAGAATGAGCCATCTAACATGGCTGTTGGGAATCAAAGTCAGGTCTCCTGCAATATCAGAAAGCTCTCTAAACTGTTGAGCCATCTCTGAAGCCCATACTTTTCTAATCTTTATTAGCATAAATGATACACACCTATAATCCCAGTACTTAGGAGGTTGAGGCAGGAGGATTCCAATTTCCAGGTCAGCCTGTATTCTATAGCAAGGTCCGGTCTCAAAAACCAAACCACAATAAAACAAACTTCCCCAGACTTATATAGGGCATTCACTGATCTGTGTTGTTATCAAGCATAAACCCTTCCATCCCACTCCTAAGGCAGGGACTAGTGTCCTAGACTGCAACTGGTGGAGAGATGTAGTAGTACATCAATGGGTTTTCTTACCTGAGAGGTCCAGCTACATCTTCCCCGAGCGTCTCTTGCATGCACCATTTTTAGACACTGACTGACTGCCTTTTCCTCCATACCCTCAGTATTGGGGTGCCAGCCATGCTGTGTTTGAGCAGAAATGGGTGGATCTGAGAGCTGAATGCTACATGCTATGTTGCCACATCAACCCAGGAGTTGAGTTAAATCACTCAGTGGTCAGTCTAGCAACATCTTACTCCCATATGTCACAGAATGCTCTATAAACAGCAGTCTCTATTACAGATACATGTGGGGGGATGGTAGCTTGAGAGAGCATTTTATGTATCATTGGCTCACTTTGAACTTGATAGGAAACCGTTAATGACATTGGATTTCTATTCCTTCATCTTCCACCTCCTGAGTTCTGGTATTAAAGGCATGCACGACTATGCCTGGTTTATGAAATGGTAGGGAATTGAACACAGGGCTTCATGCACACTGGGCAAGCATACTACCAATTGAGTTACCTCTACAGCATAGCAGTCTCTTTTAAACATCCCCAATCATCCCACCAGCATTCACTAGATGAACTTACAACATGTTCTACAGAACAGACATTGTATAGGTCTCAAGCATTTTTCATTTGATCTAGGAGCTAGCCCAGGAGAAAGGACTTCATGTGATCTGGTAAGTAAAGAAAGCAATTCATCAAGTACTTGTCAAAGATTTTTTAAAAGTTCTTTCAAGAGAAGTCCTGAACTCCAGCCAAACTCATTATAATTGCCAAAAGCTTCTTCCCCTGCAGCCTCATCCTAAGAGAAGTTCACTGCTAGTCACAATTCTCTTCCAGCTTCTAAGTTGCTGGAGTTCAATCAATAGTGGTTCTGTAAATTCTACTATCAGGGGATACAAAATGAGGAATCTGCACTCTTGAGCTCAGATTTGCTTTGCCCGGCCTCCAGAAAGTTAAGGACATCTTGAATTGAGTATCAAGCACAAGACATTTCAAAAGATGCTGTGGTCTCTCAAAATTCAGCTGCCACTAGAAAAAGGAAAAGGACTTGAAGAACAGATCATGTGATTATTATTATCTAAGTGAAAAAAACCCTGTGGGAAAAGGGAATTATTTCTTAGTTGACACAGACATGTCAGAATGCTTTGGATGGTGGAAACTGGCAACATTAGTATTATTATTTGCTGCTGATGGTCCTGCTGCTGCTGATGTTTGCATGGGATAAAAGTGAGAGGGCTTTGTATTTTTCAAGTGTTTTCATATGTGTTATGTCAGATCATTTCACCATGAGTACTGTCATTTTACTGTATTTTAAAGAGATGGAGAGGCATGGCGTGATGGAATGTCTAACTATTCCAAATGAAACAAAAACTGTTTAATTTTGAATACAGGGTAGCACTGATGGATCTCCCTGTGAATGTAAGGAAATGTCCACAATCTCAAGTAGAGAAATTCGTTACTTACAAAGAATAAGTGGCAGTTGAATTTTAGCTGGCCAAGAGCTAACATCTTTCTTCCCCTCCACTACTGCTTCTAGGCTACCTTCCCTTATCTTTCTAATGAACAAACCTCCCTTTCCCCCATAGCCCAACTTGGGGCAGGTGACTATTCCAAACCACCAGTGTTGGTCTCTTCACTATTTGGGGTCATGAATCATTTTGAGAATCTGGTAACTGTAGACTTTTCTCATCAAGGAACGTACAGAGGCATGGATGGTATATGTTTGTATACACATGAGCACAGATGTACACACACACTTATGTAATACAATTTTTAGCTCTTGGGATAATTTTCAAAAATAATTACTTTCACAGCCAAATGAAGAAAATCTAGCGATAAGCAATTTGCCTGTGGAATCATCCTTCCCCATAGGTGCTCATCCACCCTATTCTGGCAACTTGTGCAAATCCTTTGGTCCACTCCTTCCATCCTTTATCTTCTAACTGCATGCTGCCCTCAGTTGCAAAGGGTTCATTACTACCATGGCCCTTCTCCACTGATCTGGAAAATCTCAAACTGTCAGGACTCAATCTGGAACAATGAGTGAATTCTGCTGATAGGCAGATCCCAGTTATTAAATGAGGCAGATCCACTGGGGTTTGCTTGTGAACTCAGGTCTTCTGGAAATAACAGGGAGATATTTGGAAGATGCCTTTAAAAGCTACTGCTTACTTCACCTAAGAGGAGGCCTGTGACTATTCTGGAATACGTGATGCACATGATGCTGATTAGCCAAAATTAAGATAACAGACAAACATGGGAACACAAAGACCAAGCCATTTAGATAGACTGTCTTCCTTAAACAGCTATCTAAAAACTGTGTCAAATTTTGTCACTGTTCTCACCAGTTCCTTCATATTTCGCTGTTCCTTCATATTCCCATCCTAATAGTTTTCAGCGGGAACTACTAAGTAGGAGTTATTTAGTTAGAGAATCCTTACAGAAACTGGCTCCATGTCCTTATTGTGGAAGAAAGACCATTGGATTGTAAGCTTTTCCAGGGACGTCACAGTGGTGGTATAATAGCAGAGAAGAGTGACATTAGATCCAACAGTCACATTCACGAAAGTGTCTGGGATGGTCACATGCACCATGCTAACCTGACCTGAAAAAATAATCAGGAGACAATTAGTAGTACATACATTCTGATGACATTTTTATCACAAAATAGAAAACATCTTGTTTAGAGACTCTAAGACAGGGAAGAGAGTAGAATGAAACATACGGGTGACCTGAGGCAGACAACAGACACAGGGAAGACTTTCTACCTCATCATTTTCTCACAAGTTATGACATGGAGATGATAAAAACCTAAGTGATGGTGAGGTAATAACACTTGACTGATAATTCATATATGGCTCTTGTTATATACAGCTTCTTACTAAAGGGACACTAAAAGGTTTGAACATAGAGAACAAGCAACCCAGATTTCCCATGATACAGTGGCCCTTGAATACAGAGCATTTTATTTAAAGAACTAGGTAAGTCAGAAGCAAAGGCTTTAAAGTGTCCAAACTAGGAAAATTCCGGATGAGTTGGCTGTCCTACACCTGAGATCACTTATGTGGGGGGATTACCAGGACATCTAAATTATATCCACAGTTGTATGAAGATGTCGGTTTTCTTATACACTTTCATCCTTTTATGAGTACATAGTGGAGTGAACCAAAAACTACATGTCACTGATATGCTGACTAAAGGAATATGTGCTGTATATTTTTCTAATTTTTGTCTTAATTTTTGACATAGTAAATATAGGTAGAGATATTTTACACAGAGAAATCACTTTGAGAGACAAAAGGAGGCTTGAGCATGCTAAGTGGGCACACTGTACTTGTGAGTTACAACCTCATGCTCTCACTACTAGTTTGTGTTTGGTCACATTATACTGAGATAACATGCTTTGTATGACTTCACTTATTTAAAGTTTAGGTTTTTATGGCTGAGTATATGGTGTCTCTTAGTCCATTTTCTGTAGGTGCTTAGGAGGAAATATCCATTATAGCATGAATAATAAAAACTCAAAGACAGATATTGTGGTTCAAGCTGAAGATCAGAGAAGCAAACAGTTAAGCCAGTAGCTCTTACCTCTACCAAGGCTGGAAGAGGAATCCTGTCTTCAATATGGCTGGAAACTAATTGCCAGAATCCAAGACCTTCTATAGTGCTGGGATTAAAGGTGTGAGCTCTATTGCTGTTTTAGACTTGTTCACTCTCATGTAGCCCTGGGTAGCCTTGAACTCTCAGAGATTCATTTGCCTATGTCTCCTGAGTCCTGGGATTGAAGGGCTCAGGTTCTATAGTGGTGGCTAGTTTTGCATTGTAATCTTCAGTGGCTTTATTAGATCATAAACAGTATATTACCACAGTTGATTATGCTACTGTTGGGTTGTGTGCTCTATACAAGAAGATATAACTTAGAGCATTGTGATACATCTAACATGCGCAGGGCTCTCAGTTCAATTCCCAGCACTGCAAAATAAAGGTCTAAACAAACCACTATGAATATGTGAAGCACAGCCATCTACTGGTGTCAATATTTTACTAGTTGGAGTGGTATGTGCAAATTTAGAACTACACATTTTTTTGGTTTTTATGAGACAGGGTTTCTCTGTATTGTTTTGGAGGCTATCGGTCCAGCCTGGCCTCAAACTCACAGAGAACTACCTGCCTCTGCCTCCTGAGTGTTGGGATTACAGGCATGTGCCACCACCGCCCGGCTAGATCTACACATTTAGATCCACTTACTGTCTCTACATTTAAATGTCATTGTCTCAAGTACAAGATAATGGTATAAGACAATGCTAGAGCTTTTGTTTCAGTCATCACATATGATATACAGAACTTATGAATTAAAGCAGACGCCTATATTTATTCATATTTCTGCCCTTCCTTTTGTTTCTTCTGTCTCTATAATGTTTTAAGATCCTTCCTTTCATCATTTTCTTTATTTCAGAAGTAATTCCTTTAGCCATTCTTCAAGGGTATGCCTGATAGGTGAAGGTATTTTTCCCCCTTTGACTGAGAATCTCATTATTATTTTCCCTTAATTCGTGAAAGGTAGTTTCACTAGATACAGATTCTATATTCTGGCATCTTTGCTGTACTACTGAGTCTATCACCATGTTTCTTATTTTTATTATTGTATTTTTTTAGTTATATAGTTTCCATTTGAGTTTTTCGGGAAGACAAATCATCTAATTTTACTTAAAAATAATTCAAAGTAGAGGAAATGAAATTGAAAGTGAAGTTATACATTAAAAAAGTCTTCAGGACAGGAAATATGGCTCAGGGGTAGAGTACTTGCCTAGAATGTACAAAGCCCTAATTTTGATCACCAGCAATGTAGAGAATGTCTTCAGAGAAATAGATGACTACAATGTCTGACTCTTATTTGACTTTGTTTCTTAATTTAAAATTAACTGAAAAATACCTGAACACATGGGGTACATGTGTGGTATCCTTGATGTTCTGATATATTACAGAGTAATTATATCATTAATTGATATATCCATAATTTAACACATTTAACATTTTTTGGTAAAGAAGATATTTAAAATGTATTCTCTTAGCCATTTTGAAATACATAGTATGCAATCATAATTAATGAAAAATAGGCCATGGATTTGAATGAGAGAGGAGCATCATATATGGAAGGGTTTAGAGAGAAGAAAGGGAAGGGAGAAATGTAATTAAATTATGATCTCAATTTTTTTACAAAGAAATATACAATATACTAACTATGATCACTTTGATATACAATATGTCTTTAAATGACACCTCCTGTCTAACTGGAATTTTGAATCTGTTGGCTATCAATTTTGTGCTAAATATTGGAGAGACAATGGTGAACAAGAGTCCCAATATCTGACTGCCATAATAAAGCAACAGAAAACCATTTCTAGCACAGATCAGTGTGGTAGTGAATGAAATTCAATGATACAAGCAATACAAATCTGATTAAAACATTTCTTATTTTTTTATAATAGACACATATGGCTGCAATAATCTAAGGTCTGTAAAAGCTCAGAAATTACATATTGGAATTCAGACAGTATTTTCAAACTTTAAAGTGAGACATTTTAAAGAACACTGCACATTGTCTCACAATAACATTTGGCAAACAAAAATCACCAGACCATTTATTGCCCATATTGCCAATATTCAGCACCATAATCAATACTCACATTCTGAGGAACAGATAGTTTTCAAGCACTGGCCAACCTTAATATAGTGACAACAAACATGAGAGCTTAGAGCTATGGACTTGATATTAGTTTTAATTTTTCAACTAAACTTCATTAGAAAAACCTCAGTCCATGCCAGGCCTTGTGTCTTTCTCTCTGCCTGATGCCTGTGGATCAACATGTAAAGCTGTCAGCTACTGCTCCAGTGCCATGATTGGCTGCTTCATGCCATAATGATAACAGACTAACTCTCTGAGACTGTCTAAATTGTCCCAGCATTGGCTACGTAGAGTTCATTCAGTTTGGTTTGCATCTCTCTGACTTACATCAATCCAAACTTTAGCAAGGAACATCATTTACACACTGGTTGTGACATTTAACATTTTGAATATATTGTATGTTTGGCTACTCAAGGACATCAAACTCCAGAAGTCCCTGTACCGAAGTGAATCATAGGCAAGAATATGGTTTCTCTGCTCTACAGAAAGCAATGAAACAAGCAGGATGCCTGAATGCAATACGTAAAATGTTTTAGAAGAAGTGGATTTGAAAGATCGTCAAAACACTGAGTTTTAAAGAAGTGAGAAAAGAGAGCCATAATAATGAATATAACTTGGTTTTCCCAGACAATACGAAAATCATTCACACAACAGACACTTAATCCACATGCCTGAGACAGAAACACTTTTCTTTTTTCCCCCAGAAGTGAAGCCAGGCAGCAGTGGTACACACTTTTAATCCCAGCAGGTAGTGGCAGTCAGATCTCTGAGTTCGAGGCCAGCCTGCTCTACACAGGGAGTTCCAGGACAGCCAGGACTGTTACACAGAGAAACCCTTTCTTAAACAACGACAATAACAAAACCAAACAAAAAAGTAGAATTAGATCTATTTTTAAGATAAAAGCATGGAGTATTTCAGGTATCAAGGTACCGACAACAGCAACAGGCAGAAAACACGTCCCTTATTCCTTCACACTGTGGGAAATGTAAGGAGCTCTACTGGGAAAGAAGTCATGGGAAGAAACTCTGCTGAGACCGATGACTACTAAAAAGTGTATCCACTACCACAGAAGCAAGTATTTAAAATCCCCAGTGTAAGTCGAGAACTAATGAATAGTCTTGTTTGTACAAACTGGATGCCAAAGGGTTAGAAGAAATATGTACAGAAGAGGTGTGAGATCCCAGGAGACATGAGTCAAGCTCTAAAGGATCCCATCAAAAACATTGCCTTTCAATGACAGTAATAGAAATGGAGAAGGTGATTCATGAGTATTCCAAAGAAATCTGATGAAAGAAAAAACATGGAGAAATGAGAGTCTAAAACTAGGTACTTATACTGACATTTCTGATAAGCCTTCAAAATGGATCTTTCTTATGTTTTAATTAGGGAACCATCAATATTCTTAAAACGTGTCGGGGGTCAGAATGATGGATCAGTGGTTTAGAGCATTCTTAAAGAGGGCCCAATATCCTTTTGAGCACCCACATGCTAACTCGCAACCATCCCTATCATTCCAGAAAATCTGACACCCTCTTATGACATCTATAGGCAACAGGAACATACATGGTACACATACATTCATGTAGGTAAAACATTTATGCACATAAAACAAATGAATAGCTATAAAAACTTTATAAAATACTTCCTTCATAGTACACCGTCCAATTATTCTGTTTAAAGAAATTTGGTATTTCAGTGCTTTGTGAAACATTCTAAACATCAGTATTTTATTTTAAAATGCATCATACTAACCTATAAAATACGGCACAGAGTTTACAGGAAATGTACACACCGCTTATTCTTTAACATCAATAGTATACTGAAAAGCATATAATTAAGTATAACAAGATTCTTCAGCAGCCTTAAAACAGGATTAGTTGAATAGAGTGCCACTAGCTAAATGGAACAGAGCATTCAAACAACTGCAATGATAATAACATAGTCCCTGAAATACAACTGCCCAAATCATTTTGATATTAGAGGATAAGAAACAAATATATACCAAAATGATAGTTTCTGAAACCAGAATATCAAAGGGATTTCCATTATCATTAATTTTCCCTATTCAGGAATAATAGCATTGTGAGTTCGAGGGCATTTAGTTTCTAGTTTTCAGGTATAATCTAATTATTATTAACTAATTCACCTTAATTTCTCAATTTTTGGCATTTGGCCATTCTTTCAGTTGGTTCTTATGACTATTTGAAGAGCCCCACAAATGTATTTTACTAGCCCCGGTCTATCTTCTGTATTTTCTGTCTTGTATATAGGATAAACCGCTTCTGTAAACACCCTTATATCTTTGGATTAGGAAGTGTGAGTGGAAATAAAGATCTGAACAGCTAAAAAAAAATGAAAGCATTCTGTTGCTGCATATTATTTAATTCTCTAAGGTCATCTCTAGCTCATCACTGCCTAGGAGGACTTTCTATGATGATGGTGAGGGTGGTGGTGGGCGTGGAAATGTTCTGCCTGCACCCTATCTAATTCAACATTCACTACTCACATGGAATGTGGATAGTAAAACCGATGAGGTCAGGTTATAATTTTACTTCACTTGAATTAATTTAGATTTAGATAGTCACATGCAGATAATGAACAGAGAAAATGTAGCACTAACCAGGAGGCAGGTCTATGAATTTCGGAAGAAAATTTTTTTCTTTGTATTATATTTATAATATTTAAATTTGAGAAAATGACAAATGCTCAGATTAACCGAATTGTGAATAAATAACGGACTAAAGATTAATATCCAGCCGGGCGGTGGTGGCGCACGCCTTTAATCCCAGCACTCGGGAGGCAGAAGCAGGCAGATCTCTGTGAGTTCGAGGCCGGGCTGGACCAATAGCCTCCAAAACAATACAGAGAAACCCTGTCTCGTAAAAAACCAAAAAGAAAAGATTAATATCCAATTTAAACAAAACTCTGGCTTACAATCTTCCTCATTATCTCGACTGAATTAATAAACAAAGCAAAACCGCATATGCAGTTGAAATGAACATGACTGATTCTAAAAATAAGTGTTATCATCTAAGGAAAATAACTCAGGATGCATATGCTTAAATTAATCAACACTCTAAGGAGTTTAAGTGTGCTCTATTTTTGGTGATGATTATTCATTCATTTAATGCCTACAATGTGGGCAAGGTCCTTGCTTATTTGGAAGATTACTAGACTACTACTGTGCCACAACACTTCCCAATTGTCTGTATTTACTAGGTGATCTCACTTCTAGCCCCTTACATGTAAAGTTGCTTCATTTTTAGTTACAAAATAATATAACCAAATTATCATATAATTTTTGTGTTTCTCTTCAAAACCAACATTCAAATATATTACTTCTTTCAAATGCATACCTCCATTAAATGAAAACAAGAGTGACGTATCTTTCCAATAGGTGACAAATACATATCACAAGGAGCCAAAATATGCATCAATTTTGCACAAGAAAGTTTTCACTAAAATTAGTTTTGCTGAAATGGAAATTAAAGTAAGACCTCAGACATCACTGAGAGTATTTTGATTAAAATAACATCTTTCTGATTAGCTGTGCAGAGATTTGATTTTAAATGTGAATATGAAAATCATTCCAGATGTTTGGATTTGGGGGTAGTGACTATTCTTGCAACATGTTTAATACGTCCCATGTAACATGGCTGACCAAAAAAGTCTTTTATGAAACAAATACAGGTTGAGCATGAAATTGTACTTTTATAGAGACATTATCAGTTCTCCTACAGCCATAATATCAACTGATGGCTCAGGATCAATGACGTGACTTGGATCTCTGTGAATAACATATATAGATTATGTAAATCTTCCTTTGTATGCCTTCCATAGGCATGTAACTACAGTAGGTGAGATCATATTATACGCCATTTTAGGCCACCTGCTGTGCTATCAGATTTTGCTTTGCGCCAGCTAAAACAAATATGCATAAATACACAGCATATGTCAAACAAAAACACAAAATCACACCATTATTTAAGAAAAAATACCCAGGTATTTATGGTTCACTCTGATTGGGTCATCTACTGAAAGTTACAAACAAGATCCCAACATCATGCTAAATCATTGTTTAAATAAGGAAAATGAGGTGCACGGCACAGGCCCCTTTTGAATGTATACAAAATAGATAATTTGCCAGGCAGTGGTGGCGCATGCCTTTAATCCCGGCACGTGGGAGGCAGAGGCAGGCATATCTCTTTGAGTTTGAGGTCAGCCGGGTCTACAGAGCGGGTTCCAGGACAGCCTCCAAAGCCATAGAGAAATCCTGTCTTGAAAAACAAAAAAAAAAAAACCAAAAAAGGTAATTTACTCAAATCTGGGTGGAAAGATATAAATTTCCATATTCTCAAATATAGTGAATATCTATTATATTTATAATCAGTAAATTACATATATGCATATATTTATAATAAAAACCATTCAAGTACCTGTTATGATCCTATGTCTAATATTGAAGAGGGTAAGTCTTTACATAAAGAATTATGTTAACTAAAGGTGTGGTCATAGAGGGTTGGTACAGAAAACCTGTGGTTTGACCCAACTAGCTAACAATTGAAGGAAATGACAGAGATTTTCCTCACCTATTAAAAAGGAACAACATTCTAAGGCAAATTAATTAAGTAAAATGATTCCAGCTTTATGACCAGGATATATCATGGAATAAATTCAAAATCTTTAATCACGTAACCAAGAAGTTCCCATGATTAATATATTATCTTCTTTTAATTTATTATTAATGTTTGTGTATCTTGACTTTTCACATATTTTATCCTGAGCATGGTTTTGTATCATTAAATATTCTTATAAAAATTATATACTAATGACAGCCTAACATTACTCATGACTTCAAAAGAGCTCCCTTGTTTGATAAACAATATTTTTGTAGCTACCATAAACTTAACTTACCATCAGAACAGATTCAAAACACACATGGCATTAGCTTTAAAAACTCAGCCAAGGGACTTTCCAAATTAATTACTTCTGAGCTTAACAAACCCTGGGATTTGAGGTTCTAAAAATGACTTTGTTCTGCTCAACTCCCTAAAATCATCCATACTGTTACATGATAATTAGATCGCATAATTTCTGTAATACATTCCTACAACTCGAAAACCACACTTGGCAGGAAATCCTCACTAACTGAGCCCTCCATTAGGCTCTCTCTCTCTCTCTCTCTCTCTCTCTCTCTCTCTCTCTCTCTCTCTCTCTCTCTCTCTCTCTCTCTCTCTCTCTCTCCCTCCGCACCCCCCCCCGCTCCTCTTTCTGTGGCAAAGTGAGCGAATCATGGTGAGCTTAGGGGAAACACTAAATTAAAAGAGAAATCTTATCTTTAAGCACAAACTTTGATTTTCTGAGCAAATTCACTTGTTCACCTTTCTAACTAAATTTTTAAAAATGGGAAAATAAAGAAACTGGGAAACTCATTTCAGAAGCTAAGTCAATTTTACCACAGACTGACCTCCCAATAATCATCAACACGGAACGTAATTGCTAAACAAGTGTTCTGGAAAAATAACCAGCACGCTAATCACAATCTCTTGGAAGCCTGGGAAAGGACGATTTTTGCAAAACTTTGCAATTTTACTCTAAAAAGAAATTCAACTTCCAGGTGCTGTAGGTGGTTGGAAGATCCATTCCTTACCTGCAAGGCAGTTTAAGACCAGAAAAACCTTCCAAAACGCAAACACCATCATGCTGAAAATCGCTTAGAGCAGCAGGTGCCAGTCAGAAGTGTGCCTGAACAAGGCTGAGTTTCAACTGGCTTCTTCAATCACACCGAGGTTTGCCTGGCTTATCTGCTGGGCATCACCAAGCAAATAGGCCTCTTCCAGCTTGCTTATTGGTTAGACCTCTCTCCCAGCAGATCTGTGTTTATTTGAAACACTTTTCCCCGGGTGTGTTCCCTTGATATATTTGCTACTGTGTTAATAATAAACTCATGGATGTAGATTCTTCCAGCTCTTTGTACAGATTCTCTTAGGTCTCATTGTTTAAAACCAACCTTATTAAAAACTTGTACTTGGAGGAGAGAAGACATAGTTGGAAGAGAACATATGCAAATACAATTTGACAAGGCTAATTAATTTCAAATAGTTCCATGAAGATAAAATTGGAAGAGAACTTATACAAATAACATTTGACAAGGCTAATTAATAGTTCCACAAAAGTCTTAGAGCACTGATCCACTAAGCACCTTTCATAAACTAGTTTTGGAGGAAGGGCCCTCGGACTATGAAGTAAAAATCTATTCATTCCTATGGACATCACTTTTTTGAAGGACTACTAGTATAAATACTATCAAAAATCGAAGTAAAATTCCATTCTCATGTCTCCCAAGCTAGAAACACTATAACACTCACTAACCTAATGTGCAAAACCAGGTGATGAATAGATGCTCCAAGGCTGCCATTAGATGAGTATGCATTTTTTGCAGAATTAAGTTACTTTATAGATGCTACAGTGTTTCTTTGGACATTAGAGGTTCACTGGAAGAGTATGGAAGAATGAGAGCATGAGTTTCAGAGTTCTAACCATGCTTAAGTTTTACTCTGGGAAACCTAAGGGCCTCCTCCAGTCCTGCTGCTTCCATCTCTACAATGACTCTCGGATTTGTCCCTTCTCCAACCTGCTGCTTCAGTTGTGATCTAGCCTACAGCAGCAGCCTCCTGAACGCTTGTCTGCACTTTTTTCTCCTTCATCCCATGTACCAGTCTCAGGCTAATGAACCAACTCTAATGAGACACTCTCCATGGACTGCCAGCAAGCCTAGAGTCCTTCCTTCATCTGGGGTTCCAGTTTTTCATGATCTGATCCTCATTACATCTGAAGTTTAGCCACATTAAATGCTGCAAAGATTTATTGTTCAGAGTGTTTAGTCAGATGGAAAGCACTCATTGCAAATGATATGTTTTATGAACTTTAATTTAAAAAACTACTTTACTTCTGTCTTTCTTTAGCAAAGTGAATTCCTCCCTCTTCAGAAAACCATTTCACGTCTATCAGCCCTAACCCCTCCTTCCAGACTTTCCCTATCCACACCCGTGTCTGATGCCAAATCTTAAGGACTTCCATTCCTCTGAATTTTCTATTCCCTCACTTTAATGTCTAATCATATTTTCAGACTTTGTAAGTATACATGCCAGCCTTCTCTTGGATACCCCTGTCATAAATTCACATTTTGCTTGCAGGCAATCAGTATTGGACAGTTAATACTCAACTTTCCCCTGTAGTTTCCTTTTTATTAACAGTCTCACCTAAATTCAATGACTGTGAGTCCTTTGAGTGAGAGTGAGCCCTTTCAGGGAGAAATGTCAGTCCTTATACAGGAAGGTCATAACTTACGAGTGTGTCCCAAGATGTGACCAATAATCCATATTCTTGCAGAAGCAATACGATGAGTCATATTCCCAGGCCTGTGCAGACCTTATTTGAGAACCAGCTTAATTCCATGTACTAGGCAATGGAGAATGGGGAGAAAGAGAAGAAATAGCAGACAGTAGAGAAAAACATGTTTCCCCTTTCAAGGCAGGAATTGTGTACAAGACATTTTTCTGCAAATAAATATTGCATGTCCCTGAGGCCTCCTTTCCTTTCTGAGCCTACCTCCACAGTCCCCTGAGTCCTTAGGTTGTCATTAAGGGAGAATTCATTCCACAAATATCTCATACTCCAAATTTCTTTTTCCTTTCTATCTGTATTCCCACAGGAAACATTCCCTTCTGTAAAAGAAAAATCCCAGCTTCAAGACAAGAGGGAACAATGCTATTCATGAACAATTTGCAACCCTTTTCACTATCTAATGATCAATTGCTTATGTCCTCTAAATAAATTTCTGATCAGTAGAATTGATCAATGTGATAAGGAGAAAAAGTATAAGGGAAGTTCTGTACCAGAGGACAATTCATAGGGTGATCCTCTGGAGACCTTCACCAGTTCTTTTAAGCCCTGGCTAAGTCTTGGCTTCTAAGGCCATCAAGTCTCCAAAAGACCCACTGTTTTCACTTAGGTCATTGGCATTTTGATTGGTATGGAGGTGTGGCAGAGAAAGAGCTCATTTAGATTCAGCCTTTTCTATTTTTTTCTTTCTGTTGAGAATCAATATATGAATACTGTATTTACATCCTTTCCATTCCCTTTACTCATCCTCTAATTCCTCCCATTCTCTCTTCTACTCCCTCACAAATACATAACCCAGTCTTCTTTTTAGATATGGTGGTTTGCAACCAGGGGCTTTCTATGCTTCCTCCCGTGTTCTATATATGACCATAGTGGAGTGTCAATATAACTGATTGCTTAGTTGGTTTTTATCAACTTGACAAAAATCTAGACATACTTGGGAAAGGGGAATCTCAACTGAGAAAACGCCTCCGTCATTGGCCAGTAGGCAAGTCTACATGACACTTTCTTGATTAATGATTGATGTAGGGGAGTAACCAGACTACTGTGATCCTGGGGTATATAAGAAAACAAACTGAGCAAACCAGGGGAAGCAAGGCACTAAGCAGCATTTCTCCATGGCTTCTGCTTCAGATCTTGCCTTGATTTCCTGCTTTGGCTTCCTCCAGTGGACTGTGATCTGGATATGTAAGCCAAAGGACACTTCCCTCACGTTGTTTTTGGCTATCTTGTGTTGTCACGGCAATAGAAACCCTAAGACATTGATCATTAAAACTAAGAAACTTTGGGGGACTGAAAAGAGCATTATTGACAATTACAGGAGATGGACAGTATAAACCGAGACAGACCCAGACAAACCTGGATATCTAACCACTTATCCACAGAAGAGTGAGCATGGAAACGCTTGCTGACTAATGCAACATGACTCAAGTAGTTGGCTCTAAGATTAGTAGATTAGAGTAAACAATTTGAGGGTTTTGACTAAACCCGTCTGTATCAGGCTGTTTCACACAAAACATTCTGGAACATTCAAGTTAAAATCTATACTGATGCTATATAAAACCTAAGAGTTCCATTTAACTCTAGGAAATAATGCAAATTCTCTACTTGAAACTGAATTTTTATGTTGCTTGACCACTGCTCAAAAGAAGTAGGCCATTAACTGGCACATGAACTATTAGTATTCACATTTTTAGAGGGCTTTATAATTTTTAAAATGTTTTTTCATTTTATTCCCATAACTAGAGATAAAATAAGCAGGGCAGGCATTATCTCCATTTTTTATATAAGAAAACGAAGCTCAGAAATGTCGTGCTTTTCCCAAGGCCACACAGCGTATGTCAGATGCTGTTCCCATCACACTGCACAGTGGCACACTGATTATATTGTAACAAATATGCTACTGCCTTCAGAGATTTTCCTTGGCAATTTTCAGAAATGTGTGGTAGTGGATTACTCCCTCATTTTAAAAACTATAAAAGTAATTCATTTAGAATACAATGGAACATCCAAAAAGAAATGGTATACAAAAGAAAATCCCACCACTAGTCTAGGTTGCTGATGGAGCAAAATAGACTCTAAGCTAAAATCAATTCTAGTGTTCTCTCTCTCTGTTTCTCACAGAGCTATGGATTCTGAACTCTTGCAAGGTGGCTAGGAATTTATCTTTTTCTATTTTTCATGTGTGTAAGCATATATGTGGCATATGTGTCTGTGTTCATGAATAGACCCAAGGTTAATGCTTAGAACCATCCTCAATTGTTCTTTAAAGTGGCTAGTTTGAATTGAGATGTGGTGTAGTAGAGCACACACACATTAGATTACATGTTGAAATAACATTTGGAATCCACTGGATTAAATAAAGCATAATATTAAACTCTTTTAAAGTTTAAAAAAGTGGAGTATTTTAAAGATGCTGAAATCTATGCTCACAAATCCCATCACCTCTGTGACTTCATCTACCATACTTCCCTCTCACTCCTCTCCATCAGCCACACGGCTCTCCTTAGCGAGTCACCAGCCCATAAGGCAAGCTCCCACTCCTTCTGGTGGCTCACATTCCATAAGAATATTTCCTCTCAGATATGAACAGAGAAAATTCCTTTATTATCTTCTAGTCTCTGTTAAATTGTTTGGTTTTTTCCCCTCAAGGTGTCCATTTTTACTCACTGTTTTAAAAGACAGCATTTTGCTATGTAGCCCTGGAGGACAGGGAACTCACTGTGTAGACCAGACTGGTCTCAAACTTTCAATGGTATGTCTGTACCTGAGGGTCTTCTGAGTGCTGTTTACACAACTTCCAATTTTGACTTCTTGCCAGACTCCCAATCACCCTGGACCTTTTAATTTATTCAAAATACAGTATTCTCCACTCATCTATGTTATTTTTTCACCATGATTTAAGTTACTTGGGGTCAGCCATACCTCAAAACTACTACATACTAAATTCTAGAAATTAAAAACTCATTAGTTTTCATTATATTCTAATTAAATTGTTACTTTTAATCAATTTCTTACTGAACTTAATCTATAAATTAAACTTTGTCTTAGGCATGTTATATAATATATGCAGTTTCAGGCTTCACCACAGTCTCAGAATTAATCTTCCATCAACAAGAAGGGGATACTGTACTAGTTTACCTAGCAAGAGTGTATGAGTCAAAGGATAAGAATACACAGGTTTTGCTCACTATCTATTCTGAGAGCTTAGAACAGTACCTGACACATACCTAATGTATAAGAACTACTTAGTAAATGGAAAAGCTTATGAATATGGGTTCAAGAAATCTGAACTTTATTTTTCTGGATTACAAGATACAGTAAAACAATTTTAAATAAATCTAATGTCCTGGATTGTTCAACTATTATCCCATGAGTGAGATTTTCTCTTTGGAAACA